GTGTGTGTGTGTGTGCATGCTCGCCATGCTTGGCAAATGCCATGTGTGCTGTGCCATGCAGTGTTGTAAAGTGTTGTGTATTGTGTATGCTTGCCTGCAAGCATTCATGCCATGCCTAGCATTGCTCTGCGCGCATGTATGCATGCTGTTCGTTGTTTAGATTGTTTGTGTTCGTGCACACTCTGCCCATGTCGCCTTGGCAGCTCTGTTGACTGTGTGTGCACTTGTCTAGTGTTTGTTTGAGCGTGCTGCCCGAGTTGATTTGGCAGCAGCTTGCTGTGTTTGTTCATTCTCCTTGTGTTCTTGTTTGTTGCGTTTGCCTACAGTAAACACACACACCACCTGTCGTGTTTCTACAGATTATGAGACCCAGCCACTCCTGATCATCATCGCTACTTGTCTCACACTCGCTTGTGCTTCTTCTCTCCCTTCTGCTTGTTCCCCTCTCTTGTTTCTCCATCACCCTTCTTGAGCGTGCAGTATGTCTGACCCGTCGGACCACGTCGTTTCCACGCCAGGATTCAAGATGGACCTGCCCAAGTTCACTGGCTCGCCCGGCACCTTTCATGCGTGGAGCATTCGCATGAAGATGGCGCTCAAGCTCCGCGGCGACGACGTCTGGGCAGCTGTGGAGGCAGGAGCATCGTCATCAGGAGGTCCAAGCTCAGCGACACGCTCAAGTGCAAGGAGACCGACAGCAGGAGATCACGCCAACATCACCGCTGCAAACCTCATCGCGTCCACTGTTGACAGGCAAGTCCTGCCTGCTGAGTCATCATTGACCTCCTTTCTTCACGACACCACAAATTTGCATTCACCTCTCTTGTGTTCTGGAATGTTCACGTGATTTCCCTCCAACCTGTTGCACGTGCAGTGTTTAGCTTGTGTGGTTGCTCGATGTTACATGCTCTTGCATGACACACCACATAACCACACACACAACTCTCAACAAACACTGCCACGTCACCACTTTGCGTTGTCGACAATTCTTGTCTTGTGTTCTGTTTCTTTCTGTTGGAGTGTTCATTCATCCTACATCCTTGTTTGCTTCACAACTCAAGTAAACACACACAACTCTCTCTTGCCAAGACAATCTCCCACACACACACAGCACACACAGCACACACAG